AAGATTGCCGTGGTACTTCTAGAAATCAGCGTTGACTCCTCAAAACACCCAAAGCCTTCACTCTTCAGGGAAGCAGCATATCTGCCTTGCTTATCTCCTCCAGCAAAATGATGTTGGCCTAGCCTCTTCTTGATGTAGTAGAACAATCTTTGTCAAAAAGTAAAAGTAATAGATGAGCACTGACAGTTATATGGCTATTGCCGCAGACTAAAGCGTTATCATTGCAATTTCAGAGGTATTGTTAACTTGATTGTGGCAAAGATGCAGTTGCCTACATCAACGTGTCTTCTCTGTGTGGGTGTGTGAACAGGAGTTGATGGTATCGTGGTGTCTTATGGAGCAATAACTCCTTTCAAAAATGTTTTTCTTTACTCTTATCCTTAGGGCACACCTTTCCTTCTTTTTTTTTTTTCCTTCTATTTTACTGAAATGGGGAGAGTGTTCCTCTCTGCAGAGAAGAATTTTTATTTTAAGGTTATTTTAAGGTTCTGTCTCTTCTCTGTAATCAACTATCCTAAGGGATAGTTGAAGTACCACTCTGGCTAAATTAGTATCAAGGACAGAGCTATATCTAGGAGCTCATTTTTCTTTTACCACTCACAAATATGTAGCATGACTTAGCTCCCTTGGACATGGAGCATCCACTAGGAAATGCTACTGGCAGACAGGAGAGGATACTAGCATACCGTAGGGGATAAATGGATGCTTGTCTCCAGAGCTATCCTTTTCTCTCAGGCCTGGTTTCCCTTTCGACTTCCACTGATGCTGGAGGGTCCAGAGCTGGTGCTCTTGCGTTATCCAAACTCTTCAAATAGAAATTTTGCTAATACCTCAACTTTTGTGGGTTTTTAGTATTTTTCATAATGTATTCTTCTGCAAAGATAGCTAGCTTCTATATGTGACATTTAGAATTAGCTGAGAGATTATCTATATGTCTGTGACAGTAAAGCATCTCAGATGTTCTTTGGCAGTTACGCTCTTGCAAGTGTATACAACTTCACTTTGCTGGGCGTCCTGCACTAGTTGCTTAAGGATAAGTGAAAGAAACAAGGAAGGTAACAGTTATCTTTCTCCGAATATATAACCCAGGATTCAGTTGTAGCTTCTGTGGTCAAAGAGGAAAATAGATAATCAGAGCACTCCTAAGAAATAATTAGATGTGTTTGGAAGAAAGACTTCTGATGCACAAAATTTTGGATACAAAATGCAGTTGTCAAACTCCTTTTGCAAAACAGAATTCCTGCATTAAAAGATGTTTCTTTCTACAAATTCTGCTTAGATACACAAAGATATAAAAAGAGGCAAAAGCCACCATCATCCACTACAGCAAACTGCTTTGCCAGAAGTATCATTGAAAGCATGAGTGTGAATTCAATAGGCTGTTGAGTATTTCAGTTACTGTGCAAACCTCTGACGTTTGAAGAGAAACATAGAGTACGCATGAGCAGTAGATGTAGTCAACTAATGCCTGAACGATGCGTTGTCTCTTCTTAAAGAATCTAGCATCTTTATTTCTATCTTTGTCCCAAGCTACGTATCTTAGACAATTGAAAAATGTCAAACGGAGCAGGCCTGTTCAAAACTCAAAAAAACGATCTTCTGACTACTAGAGGAAATACCATGATTCTTGTGGATTTTGTATTCTTTCTTGATCATGATGAATGGAAGAGTATTACATTGTGCGGCTTTAAGTTTCACTCAGCTTGGATCAGGCTTTGAATTTGCAACATTCTGATATGGGAAGAGTAAAGGCAGGTAGCCTCATGTATGATGGAGAGCATAAAAGAGATATTGGAGTTTCCAGTTCTGGAAAGCCAACTCTTACTCCTGAAAAAAGCTATGTGTAGGAGCTATAAAGGGAAGAGATTTCTCAGGAGTAGAGACTTTTCCATACTCTTGTTACTTACTTGAGTAATTTTTCCTGTTCTAGATCTCAAAGGACTAAACATATATAATACCTACCTTCATTGTTTTACAGAAGTAATGGTCAAGGTGAATCTAATAGCTCAGTCTCTATTTTTACCTTTTCAGTGTGCTCCTTGGTCAGGATCACTTAACAAAATTGCTGAGGGATGCGTGTGGCGGCTCTACCATGGGGAAAAAACATTAATGACATGTGGGCTGTAGCCAGGTCTTAGTGAATGCTACTGTTCAAAGATTAGGATGAGCACGTCTGGAGCATGTACTACACATCAGAATTGGGGGAAGGAAATGATCCCATCCCAAAATCCCCAATACAAAAAATGTAAGGAAACGTGTTTTTATAGTATAGATAATACAGCTGGAGATTTCAAATGCAAACCTGTATTTTTTGGTGTCCTTTAACAAAAACTGAAAATGGTTTGGGTTTGCAGTTGTGACCTAAAATTATAATGGAAGCAATCTTGTCCCACGTGTGTGTAAACATGGCGTGGGAATGATTCCAATATGGCTTGTAGTGTAGAACGGTATGTTACATTTTATAAAGGTATTTTGTATTTAATACTGTTCTTGGGGGAGAAGCGGTGTAGCACCTCTGCTCCTTCTTACCTTGAGGCATAAAGGACTTAACACCAATAGAAACAAGCAAATATATGGAATTATGAGGGTGACTTTTTTAGTAGCTTCCAAAAAAAAAAAAAAAGACTGGTATATACATAATTGTTTGCACACAATAGTTACTAAGCTTTTTTTATCATTATTTTCTTATTCCAGGTTGCCCGTCAGATGATGTGGGTGATGGATCATATTTTCAAGTATACAAACTTTGGCATTGTCTCTTTAATCCATGGAGACTTCTTTATAAGACAGGTAAATGGAAACATGCAATAGTGTTTTGTTTTATCCTTATATTTGGAACGTTGTGGTGTTCTGGGACTTACTTGCACAAGTCTGCCTAGATGGATTGCAGGATGAAATAACTATCCTGAAATACGTATATTTGGATAGAACTTTGATACCTGAAACTTTTTTTTTAAAAAAAAATTCTATGTTGTTTAAAGCTCTATCACAAATGTCTACAGGACTGTACCAAGATGGGAGAGTATTATGAGAGCTGTACAAATGAAGTACATGGTCAGTACTTTTTGTCTCCACTTTTGACTGCACGTTGTGGACCCCCTTTCTCCTTTCCTTGGGGACTTCAAAGCTGTGCAGTGAGTCTGATTAGTTTATTGTTCTGACTGTCAAGGTTGACTTCAGATAAGGAAAGGCAGGACTTTTGATGGTGGCATGGTTTAGATGAGTTTAAACTGGTGGTGAACCTGCATAACAGTAATGAATTGATTCTTGAAGGTAAATTAATATTTGAGCTTCAGGAATTAACGTAGAGTTAAGTCCAGCATCCCAAATGTTAATGAGTGGAAAAATTCAGTTTCTTACCACAGTTTTGGGGTGTTTGTTTGTTGTTTGGTAGCTGTTGAGCAAACCCACGCTTTAAAAGTAGAAACTGAAAAATTTAAAGGTAAGCATGGATCTGGTTCCAGTTATGTGCAGTAAGACAGCCTGCATACACATTTCTTTCCCTTTCTTATTTTTATTTGTCTGGGCTTAGAATGTTTGGGCAGCCTGGGAGAATTCACATATTTTAACTTTACAGAGAAAGAGAAGCTAATTTATTCGGAATGAAAGAAATCTGTATTCACTCACAGCGGTATACTGCTACAGTGAGATTTCTCGCTAAGAGACTAGAGGCATGGTTGGAAAACCTCAGGCAAGGTTAGGTAATAAAATGAAGGTCTCCAGAGATGTACAACTGAGAACTATAAGAGTACTGAAGAGAACAGGACTTGACATTTTGTAAAACGTAAAACCATTTCTGTAGTTCCAATTCACAAAATACACATTTTGAAGTGCACATGGCTGTCAGCTGTTTAATTGTAATGTCTGAATGTGTTGCTGCAGTTCCAGTTACAAAACATAACCAAATCACTGCTGAGCTACGGAAAGTAAGGCTTTTCCTCATTTTTGTGAAGAGGTAGAGGTGTGCAACATAACAAATAAAGTGTTACCTATCATGAATCTAAATATAAATGGATTGAAAAATAAAACGTTTCTTGGCTGTTTGCTTTTCACTGATGGGTATAGCATAAACACTTAAGGTGGGTGAGTGAGGGTCCTTTACCTATCTATAAAAAGGCCTTACTAACATTTGAATGAGCTAAGAACTTCATTTTCTGTAAAATAGTATAATTTGATCATAGCATAGTATATCCTGTTTGTTAAGAACATTCGAAGGCCTCGCTCTGGTGAGCAGGAACAATAGCAGTTTTAGGAATGCTTTTGATGTCTACTAGAAGTTGACTAGCGCTTCCTCTTTTCCTATTGAGACGTTTCTTAGAAACTGACACTGTCGTCGAGTTGCCGTACTGATGATGCAAAATGCATGCCACCCTAAAGAATGTGTCAGAAGTTTGCTAGTGCCTATCTTCTCTCCTGTAAAGGAGAGGAATTTCAGCCTGTTGCCCGTGACACTGATAAACTAACCATGATCTTGAAGAGTAGGCAAATTAAGGAGTTTCTTCTGCTTCTACACAACTTGCTTTCTCTTCTTTCTAGATAATGTTTTAAATGTGTTTATCTTCCAGAGCTCTTCAGAATTCTACTAGTTCTTATTGTTGCTTTTTTTTTTTTTTTTTTTAATTCTTAAACACACCTTGCTTTCCCTTTACTCTGGCAGATTTTTCTATATTACAGCATTTTAAACCTCCCCAGTATTTGCTGAACTTCAGTTTAACCACTAGTCCTATTCTTTAGGTATGCTTAGGTTTTGGAAAGTTTTAATATTTAACTTACGGAAAGTTTATTGTTCACTGCTCTTTTCTTAACTACTGTGCTGTCCTGGAGTCCTGTGGTCTGGTGTGAAAGGCCTGTTTTAACTGAGGAACTACTTTATGTTGCTCCTTAATTGAATTAATATGAGCAGGCAGAGCTTTTTCCTTCCCTCCCAAAGAGGTAAGTTAGGAAATAATTGCAATGATGAGATTTCAAAATGTAGGAGAAATGCTTTCACAGAACTTGTCTTCAGTAAAATACTACTTATTGTTGCCTTCCACTCAACCCTGTCCTGTTCCACCACACCACTCAGCGCCCCTCCTGCCCCCCCAAACAAACAAAACCTAGCGGAAGGTTTATGACAGTGTCCTTGAGTTTTCAGAGAATTGAAATTGCCTTTCCTTAGGAAAACTTAAATTTTGGACTCCTTTGTCTTCTGAGTGATTTGGCAAAGTCACTGTAGAGCCCTCAGAAATACTAATTGGTGTAAGTTGATGCCTGTGAAAATTAGAGTGGCTCGCTCGCTCTGTGTGTGTGGGTGGGAAGAGAGAGGATTTCCGTTTTTAAGATATTTCTACAGTAATCAAGGACAAATCTTACTGTCTTTGGTCTTAACACTTTGTTATGCCCATGATCAGAGTAATTCATTCGTTTCGATGTTTGACTTAGCATATGCGATTACTTGATATTTTTAAATACATCTTGTAAACCTTACAGAGTATTTAAACAACGGTGTTGGAACCAGCATAAAATTGTGTTCCAAAGTACTGGTAAAATGGAAAAATGAAAAAAATGTAACTCTCTTGGCTTCAGTTAAATTGTATTTTACACTAGATGAGAATCTGAAAGAACTTTGCTCAAGATATTCTCCCATTTCGGTTGAGGAAAATTACAGCTGAAGAGCCCAAATGCACATTTTGCATGCTCAGGGGCACTAGCTTCCAGAAGAATGAAGTTTTTGGCTGTGGGTTACAATTTTGTGCAAATTTACCGGGTTGCTTTGCACTGAAGAGATTTGGAATCACATATATTTAAAAAAAAATTTTTCTTTTTAATCCTGAAGAGAAGTTAAGCTAACACATCAAAGAGGAAAAATGAATACCAACATCTTTTGATTTCCCCCCACCTTAATTCTTTAGGCTTAATTATCACCTGGCTATACCTTATATACAGCTAACTATCTAACTAGCATTTGGTGCTGTACAACACCTTGTTGACTTGATTGTCTCCTGTTTTTGTTGTTATACTTTTTTTTTTTTTTAAGTTCCCACGAAGCAAGTTACTTTTCACTCAATGGCCTCTCCTAGAGTAAGAAAACCCGTAAATGTTACAGCCCAATACTTTTTTTTTTTCCCCTTCAAACAAGGGTCTTCTAGAAGAAAAGATCCAGTCAGTAAGTTTTTTTGGTCAGTGTGCTAATTTGAGTGGAAACTAAGCATTCAAGCATCCCAGTTTTTTGGACAGTGGAGAGAATGCTGCAGTTTTACTGTGCTGACTGAATTAAAGTTTATTCTTCAGGTTTAATTCTATTTTCTGCTACCTGTGCAGTTCTAATATGGGGATGGAGGAGAAAGTTGTATAGAAGATAATGGAGTTATTCAGAGTAAGTGGAGATGTTACTTAGCTTGCAGATATTACTGACGGTGTGGGGACAGGAAGAACACAGCTTGACCTTTAGATTGTGTTTGCAAGATTCTGCTTAGCAAATTCAATTTGGAAATTGGTAATAAGTATAGAAATCTTTAAATACATTGTCCTGTTATGTGGTACTGCCATTGACAGTCTAGAAGTCACACTTGGCAGAGAAGTGGCCAAATGGAGAGTTTTGTCCTCACTTGCAAAGGCTTTTTTAGCCTTTCTGTATAGTCGCATTAACTTGGCCACCAGTGGTTATTTTGAGGACAGCATTGCTTTGTTTTGTAGTAGAGGCTTATTTGTATCTCTGAAAAGAGAGACAAATCTTAGAACTGTAGTAATTATCTGTCTAACTTGGTCTCTTAAGCATTCATTTTATTTAGGTAATGTTTTATCCCTTATAGGGAAGAGCACACCGTGACCAGCAGCTTGTGTTACTCAAGGAGCATCTAGAAAAATATTACAGGAGCCGTAATCGGAAATGGATTGTTTTATTTCCAGAGGGTGGCTTCCTTAGGAAAAGGAGGGAAACAAGCCAGGCATTTGCCAAGAAAAACAATTTGCCATTTCTTAAACATGTCACCCTGCCGAGACTTGGGGCAACACAAGTAATTCTGAAAATGCTTGTAGCTCAGCAAGAAAATGGAACTCTAGCAGGTGGAGACGCTGTGATAAAAGGTAAAGATCACTTAACTCTTTGGATAAAAAGCAAATTGAACGTTCAAGATTTGAGTTATTAAGCAAAACCTTTGTCCGTGTTGAATTGGAGAGGTCTCTCTAAATGTCAGAGTACACCCATAATATCCCATCTTTTATATAAATGTTTTCATATTTAATCTCATTTCTGCTAATTTTATTTCTGATGATGTGAGACAAAAAATGAAACCCTTAATTCTAGTTAAAGTTGGTCCACAGTGTGGCTGCCGTGAGTGCTTGTTTCAGCAAAAATGATGGGTAGAGCAGACACTGGAATGAGTAGCTGGAATGGGCAGAGGGTGGGGCTGCTCGTTTCAGCAAGGATGGTGGGCTGTGCTGTTTTATGATGCTATGGAACTACAATAAAAAGTATTTCTGGGATATGCAGACTACTTTCAAGTTTCTTTTCCTAGCTTTAAAAGTTTCTTTGCATCCAGTACTGTGCAGGCTCCATTCTTCTCAATTTATTTCCTCTTGAGTTCAAATTTTTCTTTGTCTGTTCTCTGTGACTTTGATAACTGTCCCCTCTACTGGTGTGAGTTAAACTGTCATTGATATCTGTAGATTTGAAGGACTGTTTTGGATCTCTTTTGTGTTAGAGTTACGAAGGAACAAAAATATTCCTCCTGCATTATTGGTTTGGAACACCTGGGGTGTAGGGAGAAGTGTAGTTCTGGGATAAAAATAATGCCTGCAGCTATGGGAGTTGGTGCTTTTAGTCTCTCAGTTTTTAAAATTAATTTCTTGGCACTGTTATGCAATGGGGTTAGATCTTGTTTGACTTAGTTGTGGATTTCTGTTACTTATTACAGAAACAATGGATTGGGGATTTGTGTTAAATTTTTGACAGGTGGTGCTGGGATTTTCCTACCAAAATTAGTCTAAATAAGAATCGCAGAACGGTCGCAGTTGGAAAGGACATTTGGACATCATCTAGTCCAACCTCCCTGCTCAGGCAGGGTCACCTACAGTACCTTGCCCAGGACTGTGTCCAGACGGCTTTTGAACATCTCCAAGGAAGAAGACTCCACCACCCCTCTGGGCGACCTGCTCTGTTGTGCAGTCCCCCTCACAATAAGGAAGTTTTTCCTCATGTTCAGACGGACCTTTGTGTGTTTCAATTTGTGCCCGTTGCCTCTCATCCTATTGCTGGGCACCGCTGAGAAGAGTGTGGCCCCATCCTCTTGGCACCCTCCCTTCAGATACTTACACACGTTGATCAAATCCCCCCTCACTCTCCCCCAGGCTGAAGAATCCCGGCTTCCTCAGCCTTTCCTCATAGAGGAGATGCTGTGGGAAGCCCAGCCTGATGCTGGGGAGCCCAGCACTGGACCCAGCACTCCAGGTCCGGCCTCACCACATCCTTCCAGAGGGGAAGGATCACCTCCCTTGACCTGCTGGCAGTGCTCTGCCCAGTGCAGCCCAGCATACCTCCTTTGCTGCAAGGGCACGTTGCCGGCTTGTGGTCAGCTTGTTGAGCACCAGGACTCCCAGGTTCTTCTCTGCAAAGGTGCTTTCCAGCTAGTCGATCCCCAGCCTGTCCTGGTGCAACCTAATAAAGCCACATAATGTGGTTGGCTTTAGGGTTTTTTGTCTGCGGTGAAGTTCAAGCTCTGAGGTTAGCAGGAAGCCTTGTACAGAAATTACTTACGGGTTTCTAGTTTTTAAGTTATCCTTGTCAGCATAGGAAGTGGATAGACACGTTCATCTCATGGGAGTAGAGTTAAAATTTTAAATGCATCTAGGAATAGACTCTTGTTGTCTTAGAGGATCTTAAGGAGAAGAGGAGTCTTTTTAAAAAAAAAAAAACAAAGATTGGGCATTTTCTTTCTTTATTTCTCTCTCTTTTTTAAGTTATTTGTTAAGGATAAATCTGGCCTGCTGCACTTGCATTTGTGCTCCTCAAAGGCACAAAGGTAAAAAAGTAGAAGGCCCTCCAAGTAAATAATAGGCCTTTCCCTTCTGGAAGGAAACTGAAAACACTCACCAGAATACAAGTTTACATACGAGGTTGTTCAGTGAAGTTGCTAGCGATGGAAGAATATATCTAACCTGACTTTTCTGGCTTTTTTCTTTCTTTTTTTTTTTTTTTTCTTTTTTGAGTAGCAGAATTCAGGCTGTTGAGAAATGATCATCTGATACTAGCAAACTTGAGGGTTTTTTTTGTTTTTGGGGTTTTTTTTTGTTTTTTAAATGACATTTCCCCTTCAGAGAGGTATGAAGGGTTAGTTCTTGACCTGTGTCATGTGTAAAAGACTCTTGCTCTAATCCTCCCCCTTCCAAATGCTTTCACTTAACTCTTACCACTGCAGGAAAAAATTTGTTTGAGGAAGGTGTTTGTTCCATTGAATGCAATAAAATTTTATAAGGATATATTTTATGGTTAGACATCTAACAAGCTAATCATTTTTGCTTTGTGTATGCTAGAACTGGGTGTAATATATACAGTAATGGTTACGTCAGTGTCTTGCACAGAGGCTGCATATCAACTTTTTTGTGCTTCTGGTCAGTATTCCCTTGCTTGAAAAGTGTCTTTTTTGTCAGTAGCCCTTGCAAGTCCATGGTTCAGCTGAAACACTTCCTCTGTACGCCTGCTTCTTGCACGCTGTACGTTGAACGTTCCCGTTGTTGAACGTTCCCGTGGCCTGGTTTGCCAAGCTATTCAGTTTACTACAGTAAACTTTCCTCTCCGTTTACTTATCGTTCTTCCAGTCTTTGTTACCTCTAAGCTTTATTGATAATGATTAGCGTTCTCCTCTTCCCTCCTCCCCCAATTATAGATAGATTGGTTTGTACATTAAGATTAGGGCCAAGAAGTAATTTCTTTTTCTCATCAAAAGTTCTATCTGCTTCCTGCTGCGTTTCCTGGCTAGCTTTGTTATCCCGATACACAGTTGCTGTGCTCTTGAGAGCTATCATTTAACTAGTATTTAATTCATTTAAGATAATCCTTATGGATTTTTACACCATGCTGCTTTCTGAACTGGAATGCTGTATAATACTGAGTCAAAAAAAAAATGGAAAAAGAGGACCAAAGCAGCTATAACATAAAAGATAGTTCATTCTTAATATTAATGTTGTACTGTGCCCTGGTTTGACGCAAACCCTGTGGCGTAGTGGTTTCATCGTGTGTCACCTTCCCCCTAACCCACAGGCCGATAGCTTGATTTGTGCATCAAATGTTCACTGGAGTTACAGCCTTCAAATAATACTTTAAGAACTGTACAGCAGCAATATGCTACATAATCTGTCTTTCTCCTTTTGTAAGGCTTCTAATTTGATTACTCTTATCTCTTTGTTAGAGAGGGGTTTATTCTGTGAAGCGTGAGGTTCAAACGTGTCATTAGCCTTAATTATGATACTAATATTCTTAATATGCAGTCCCCTTTTCAATTTATTCTTGCACGAGCTGTGACTCTCCCACGGTTTATTATCTAGTTCTTCCCGTGCACTGTGACAGGAAGAAGAGAAGTTCCTGGGCTAGACAGTCAGTGCTGCTTGGTATTTTCGAACATAAACTGATCCCTTCTTTATCGATTGCTTTTCGAAGGCAAGCAGTCTCTATCTTCTTCTTTTTCTCTTTGTATGACTTTTCTGAGCCTTTTGCCACATATCTTCACCTGTATTTAAAGTCATAAGCTTGAGCTGTCCTCTGCATGAAGTTTAGCTTACAGCTGGTAAATACTGAACTAAATGGCGGAGACATGTACTGCTTTGGCACCTAGACTGCTGCCTCTTGAAATGCATATTTGGTTATAATGAAAGTGTAAGGGTGTTTTTGTTTTGTTTTTAGTGGATGGAAGGGTGAAAAAACATTTAGGAAAGGCAATAATACCACTTGATGGCTTACTTGAGTACTTTTGAAGCTAGAAAATGCATTTAAGTGTTGTCTGTCCCTTAAGAAGTGGTACAAGAGTCCATTCTGGTGGCTGCTGAAAGCCTCTGGAGAGATGTGCTGTGCTGTGCCCCCCAAAAGTGCTGCTGTTGGCGCCTTTGTTCCAGGAGTGGGTTTTAGTGCGGAGCAGAAACACAGACAGCAGACTTGACGTATATCCATCAGCCCTGTAACCCCGGGGGGACCAATATATTTGTTTTTAACAGAACACTGCCTCTGATGTGGCTGCAAATACAATGTTTCTTCAATTAATAAGAATCGATCTTCTTGTAAGTTTTGAAAGTAGCAAAATGTTCTGGCAAAAATGAAACTCGTTTGGCCTTTTTTGTTGAGACGTGAACTTAGTTATAGCTGTATTGAAATGTTATATTACTGTTTTCAAGTGTGGCATGGTATGTTTAGTTAGTTCTGTTGCTTTATTTCTTGGAGAAAATCAGTTTTCCCTTTTGCAAGCTGGACACTGGGCTCCATAATTTTTTTTTAAATCGATTTTTTTAGTTCACTAGCTTGTGAGGGCATTGTTTTGGGATGTTTTTTTGTTTGCTTGTTTGTTTTAATCTGGAAAAGGGGCTGCTTATTTTGTCCCCAGTGAACTGTGATTTGTTGTGGAGAGGTATCGGCATGATCAGTAAGAAGTTCAGTCTGAAAGCTAATCTTTGAGGAAGGAGTTAAAATCAAGTTCAGTGGTCCAGCCGACCACGTGAATGCAAGTGCGGGGCGAGGGAGATGACAAGAACGCGTGCTACCTGGGGGAGGTAATAGCACCTTTTGGCTGCATTTAGGATAATATAAGCTGTTCAAGAAAGCACACCTGCATAGTAAGAAATGTTTCGAAGCGGAAGCTGCACCCCCAAGGTTCACTCTTGGCTCGTGTTTTCTTTTCTGTTCAAAATGCGATGGAGTGGTAGCTCACCACCCAGAGCTTGGCAGGAGGCAAGGTTTCCTATTTAAAACACTCCTTTATGATTCACTCTTTTTCTGAGTGGTAATCACTGATTGTCTGCTGGCAGGTTTGCACATTCGTGCCCCTGGTCAGAGCCAGGTTATGGCACTGGTTGAGGGTAATTCCAGGGAAGAAGAGAAACCCTGAACCCCAGTAAGTCTGCGATAGTAGGGGATCAAGTGTCTGCTGTGGGAGGACTATAGAGGATGACGGAGCACTGAATGTTTTGAAGAATTTGTCCCAACTACATATGAAACCACCTTTGCTGGTGGTTTTAAAAAAGCAAATTAGGAGTCTTTAGTTTTTACTGTGGTTTTCATCCAGGTCAGAAAAGTAGTATTCCAGATGATTGTTCGGTCTTGTCTTCACGTGTGTCTTGCCTTAGCGCTCACAAGGACGGTATGTACCTGTCGTGCTAAGGCACACTGTTACTGCGTGATTTGGATGCAGCCGTGTGGGAGAGCGCCCTGCAGGCCTGCTTGGAACGTTTATCTGCTAGCCGAAGAGAATCGGGACTGCTAACTTTTTGAAGCACTCTGAGAAATTAAAATCATCTCTCTCTGCTGGAAGTGGCAAGCAGACCAGCACCTCAAAAGAAAAACTGGTCCTTAAAGAGGTCAGCTTAACATTTAGTCTCTGCAGTTGTTTCTTCTGATGAAGTCGCTGGCAGTGCCCACTACTTGGATCCTTCCGCAGCTGCTAGAAACGGAGAACGAGGATGTCTTTAAAAGAAAGTAGAAAGCTTAAAAAAAAAGAGGGGGGGGGGTCGCTGGGCCTTGGCTGCCAGATACATCTCTGGCTGTGTTGGCTAGGCCAAACTTGGCAAGAGGTGTTTGTGAACAAGTACGCTCAACACCCTTTTCTCTGCTACAGATGCCAAGACCCGAGGTTCATACCAAATTATAACTGATGTAGCAGTCTTTCTGTTCTGAATTTCTGATCCTGCGCTCCATTTAAAACTTAATTGTTTGTTCTTGTTCAAAGGTCTGGTTAGGCCTGAAAGCAGCGCTGTCGGAGATGCTGAGGTCCTGCCCCTCTTTTTTTGTGTCCTCTGCAGTGGTCTGTTTCTTTTTTGGTTTCAGAATCTGTTAGAGGTTTGTGGCTTTGGAAAACAACCGCAACAACAAGTGCTCGTGGGCAGAACAGAGCGTAGTATAACCCCCTCCCCCAGAGACAGTAAGCTGTAAGATTTTTTTCTCTCTGCTTTTTCTTTCTGGGAGAAACAAAATATTTAGATGAAGATGCAGTGTTTTTTCCCAAATTGGTGTCCTTCTGTAGGATGCATGTTTTAAAATGCAGTCCAATTATATTACCTATTTTATCAGTCTCAATTTTATTAATGTTTGGATGAATAAAACCTCACACTAGAATATTTCTTTTAATGTTTGCCTTTGGAAGGTGCCTTACAAAGAGGCTGTTGCCTTTGCAGGTTTCAGCTGCTGACTTGGTGGTAGGAAACATCATATTGGCTCATCATATTTTTTCAGATAGTATGTGCTATATATACTTTTATGATTGGAGTATAGTTTTTGTTTCCTAAGTACTAAAATTATCATTTCCAATTTAATTTTCTAAAAATCCTCAGTGACTTGGGGTTTTTTTGGCAGTGTGAGATCTTGGATGATTATATAAGACTTATTTTAAACCAGAGTATGCAGAAATATGTCTGGGACTGTACTGTGATAGTGTGTCTTTGTAATAGCACGTGGAGGTAGCTTCTGTCAAACCTGCTTGGTATAAAGGAAGGTCTATGGAGGCTGAAGTTATATTCAGATTTTTCTCCCCCCCTCCCCCCGATAACTTGAGGACAAGCGTGTCCTCAAGTGTGCTGTGCTGTCAGACGTAGGGTTTTCTTGCTGCCCTGCCCTGGAAGGGGCTAGAAGCGGCGTTAGAGCTGGTCCGAGGAATCCCCGCAGTGATTCTTCCCCAGAGCCCTCCAGAGCAGAGGGTAAGAAATCAGTATAGAGAAAGAGGACTACAGTAGTCTTTCTGTAATGAAGTTTGAACCATTGTACACTGAAAAATCTGTTTGAAGTGCTAGCTAAATATTTAATAAATGATTTGGAAACGTTTTACTGTAAATAAAAAGATAATGTGCCCATATTTGTCTGGCACTTTTTAATTACAATTGATGATCCTTGTTGCTTTCTCACTTCGACGATTTACTTGTCTTTATTACTCATTCTCACTTTACATCTGGGAAAATGATAAATTGAATGGCTTTGTTCCTAAATCCATTTCTAAATGAATAGTTCTGTGGATTTACTATTACTTTCATATGAGCTTTTCTCTAATCTAAAACATTGCTGCTTTTAAAATGAAGGGCTCTACAGTTAGTGCTTTTCTCAAGAGAGACTTGACAAGCCCTCTGTCGTAATCCTGGCATGCCTGGACCCTCTTAACAGCATCTCGTGTTCTCGTTTCATGTGCCTGTCAGGGCTTTGAAATACCATCGTTCAAGAAGGTGACCCTGCAGATGTTTCAACTTGGCTGATGTATTTCAGCGCCTAGCTTGCACTTTGTCAAATTGTGGCATAGTACATTGCATACGACTACTGACTTAGTACTTATAATAATTAGTTGGTTGTCTTGCCATACTATTTGCATTTGTAACGAAGGGGTGCAACTTCACATTGTTGAGTAGACACTGAAAATATTTTAGTTGTTTGTTAAAATAATTCAGAAATATATGCAATAGTGTTGCTGTAATTGTCTTTGAAATTAAATGCAGGTAGAAACTCGTGAGTGAGTCTTTGTCTGGTCAGGTATATTCTAATTAGTGTAAATAACTTTTGGCTTTTAGCGTGTACCTGAGACTTGCTATGTTGGATTCATGTGTGCAGTAGCTCCCCTGTAAAATTCAAGTGGCGATTTTGGGTGAGACCAAGTGTCCGTCTGCCCCAACGTCTTCTCTGTGGTTCGAAGTGGATACTGAAGGAAAAGTGTGGACAGAGCAAACATGCATAATGTTTCTCCCCAGTGCTGTCCTACTGACCGCTTTCAGCGTGGCAGATTTCCTGAGCCCAGTGGGGTTTCTAGCTGTCGGTAGCCGTCCTCTGGTTTTCTTCCATATACTTGTCCAGCTGCCTCCTGAACCCAACTCTCCGCATCCTTTGGCAAGGGGTTGCCCACAGTTTTATTGCCCTTTGCCTGAAGAAGCGTCTCGTCCCGTGTGTTTTGCACGCTTCTCCTGGCTCTGTTTTCAACGCCTCTAGTTCTTGCATTGAAAAAGATGGTGAACGGTCTATCTCTGTCTGTTCTTTTTATGCCAGCTGTGATTTTTGTCAACCTCTATCATATTTCTTTCTTGGCTATTAGTTCCAGACTTGAGGAGCCTTGTACTTTCTGCTAAGACGTGACACCTTTTGCACGCTCTTACCAACAGGTGGCTATTTTTAATAGTCAACTTTTTAAATGCTTTAAGTTATTGTTGGGTATGATGTAAACATGTGCAGTTACTATACTAGCCCAAATATAACGTGACCTCAGATAGGAGGCAACTCCAGTTCCCACAGAACAGAAATAAAACTGACAAGCTGAACCCCTCCCCCCCCCAATGCCATCTGGCAATTCCTCTCCTTCTTGGTCTGGAGCAGATACACTGCTCTCCCTCTTTGCAAGCCTGTGGGTTGAAGGCCTGCTGGATAGGTTGAGAAAGACCAGACAGAGGTCACGACTAGGTTGATATCTGCCCTTGACTGTTGCTGGTAGTGGCCTTCATTCAGGTTTAGATTTCTCTCTCCTGAATTTGAAATTTTGATAGCAAATATTTTCCTCTGCTTTGACTCTTTTTTTCATCTTCTGAATCTGCTGAACAGCATAGGAACGTGTTGTAGTGGCATCAGTCTTTCAGGGGCCTTATGGATAGACTCTCCCTACTTTCTACTGTGAAAACGGACCATATTTTCTTATTGCTTGCTTTCTTGTCTTTAATATATAAAGTGACTTTTTCCTCCCTCTTTATCTTATAACTCAGATTTTTAAGAACCTTTGCTAAGGATGGTTTTCTTTTTCTTTTTTTTTTTTTTTTTCCTCTAATGCCTTTGAACTGCGCTGTATGAAATAGATCACCCTTATCCACCTGCCCTACCCCAGCATTCAGGCTAGCGGCCAAAGGGGTGTACATGGCTGTTGTTCCATCAGCAAGCTACAAGTAGGCCCTGAGAGCCCTTACAAAGACCCAGCTGTAAATGTACTTAAAGTGCAGACTGGAGAAGTTAGATTTCTATTTTTGATGCTTTACTTTCAGGGATAAGGGAATGGGGAGGAGCACCTAACTTCTGAGCTGACAAGTCATGTGAACATACCCATACAATGAATGAAGTTGCTCTGATCTGTGTGCTACAATAACTAAGCTCAACAGAAACAACTGTGGAAGTAAAATCTTGGCTTTGCTAAAGATTTTAAGAGGCTTTCAGTGCTATTTAATGAAATCTGAATTTTATCTCTAGCTGCCTTATTTTGTCATTTTTAAGCTATACTTGTGCCCCATGATATCTTATAAAGTAATGTAGAGATGAAATAGCTATCCAATCAGCGGCATGTACTTTCTGGTTTAATTTTAATATCACATTTCTTTATTCATAGAGAGCAAATCGAAAGGCCTCCAGTGGGTGATAGATACAACCATTGCGTATCCCAAAGGTGAACCTATAGACATTCAAACCTGGATTCTTGGCTACCGACAACCAACAATTACACATGTACATTACAGGTAGGAAAATATACCTTTTATTCTTGTATCAAGCTAAAGAATCCAAAAATGTGTTCAGAATTACTCAAGGCATTTTTTAGGATATCTTTAATCAGGAGCAATGTCTTTACTTTGTGTCTTATACAGCTAGGCAACTCATTATTTAAACAGAGCTTTCTTCTGAAAAGTTCAGTGACAGTTTTATATCTTAGCACGTTTACATTTTTTACTGATGTCCCATGGTTGACTGTAGCTATGGGGAATGTTTGACTAGGTCATCTTTTCCGCTTTTATGTTAAGGTGCTAGACGCTGTGGAGAGGCGCCTACGTAGGTGAAATTTCAGTGTTTAGTATTAAACTCTTCATAAATGCCCCTAAAATAAGTTGTTTTTTTAATTATTATTCTTTCTACGTAAATACTACTGTAGAAAGAAGCAGGTTGCTAAGAGAAGTTGGTTCTGTGGCTGCAGACGGAAACGGCTGTTCAAAACCCCAGGATCTAGGCATTTTTTGCGGCATCTCTAAATTGTGCTTGCCCCCTCACATTTTAGCTTTATTCTACTGCTACGGTTTTTTTGTCCATAGCGATGCTAATCTATGAAACCCTTATTCCCCACCATAGTTTTAGGCATGTCCTAATAACTGGTTGTTGTCTTTGGCAGTAATTGACAAGTGCTTTTTAACTTCGGTGTCAGTTCTAGCTTCTGCAGTGCTCCTTCCCCAGCCTTTCCCTCCACTCTGCCCAGTGACTGTACGATTAAGAGGTCAATCAGCAGTTGAAGTTGTGGTATTTCCAGGGAAATGCTTGTTGAAGGACATCATTTCTGGCTGGAGGTGCAGTGCCTGGGTCCTATTTTTCCTGGGGCCTCATCCAGTTTGGGGGTAATAACATGAGAACCTTTCTCTACAGCAGTGCTACAGGTTTCATCACCTCGGGAAAGCAACTTGCAGCTTTCTAAGGGAAACTTGAGGTTGTTTTATCCTTGGAATTTGAAGCAGCCTCAACAGAGTAGGAGATCTTGATCAAGGAGTATAACTCTCTTTCTGAAAACACGCTACCTTTTCATACTAAAAAGTCTGTTATCTTCCACTTCTTTATAAATACCAGAGTCTTTGAATGCCAATTATTCCAGCTCTCTTATTTCCACTTGATGACTTCAACAGTACAGTTATGTGCTTCAGTAAAAAAAACGAAAACTCATGTCTGCTACATACCAAGAATACCAAGAACTCAGAATTAGACTAGAATCAACTAATCAATTTAAAAATAACATAAATCTAGACAGATCATATTCCTTTAAGTTCAGTAAGTTATTACTTTTACCCTAGATTTCTGATTTGCACATCTGCTGCTCTCTAGAAAGAAGGAGGCCTTGCTGGAGAATTTAGATGTAGTTTGTTGCAGAGTGTATGAGACTGAGGGCTCTGCTTATTCCAAAAATGAAAGGGCTGCTACTGTTAAGGCAGAGCAAAGGTCAAGGCAGAGCAAAGGTCCATCTAACCCAGGACCTCTGCGGTCGTCTTGCACACTTTCCTTAAGCACCTGGTACTAACAACTGTCAGAGCAAATATGAAGAAATCCTATTGCTAAGGTTTCATAAGAATGTAATACTTAAAATGACATATTTGCCTTACTAATATATTAATCAGTCTGACTGCATGTCCTGAAACAATTGGTAGCCCCAACACACTTAGAAATACAAGTAATAGCACACAGTGCATCTTGGTGATGAAAGAAAGATGCTTGTCCCTCAGTGGTTTTTGATCTCCCAGTGTATTACTTTTTAAAATTTGCCCTGTAGTCTAGTTTCATGAACTTTTTGCTCTCGATCCGTTTACAACTTGAACCTTTGCAGAAGAGAAATAGTTTGATATCCTAATACAGACAGCAGCAAGATAATCCTCTTTTGAAAGAGTTAAAATCTGGTAACTAGAAGTCAGTCTAACTCCTACTTTCATGAGCTTAGTCAATTTGGGTCTAGGAAAGATATATCTGAATATAACTATCAGAAATTTATAATATAGGCAAAGTACTGACTTTTTTTTTTTCTTTTTCCAGTCTAAGGATTTTTTTTTTCCTTCAAGCAAGTAGATATAACTGATTACCGCTTATAATATGCTGCAGCAAGTGATGTGAAAGCTGAGGCTATGGAGGGAAATAAAACCGAAGGGTTGTGGGTCTTTTTCCTTGTTGTATTTGCTTTT